ACCATCACCATCATCATTATCATCATCATCATCATCCTTCTCCTCCTGCAGCCCTCCGCACCCTTCCGAAATCGTCGCGCTGCCCCCCGCCACCAGGAGCGGCGCCGACTCGGGCGAGCCCGAGGAGGGGGGGGGCTCCGCCGACGGCTGCTGCCTTGGAGTATGGCGACTTGCCGTGGGGTTGTCGGCCCCCAAAACAAAGTGCGTACCAGGGGGGCGAGATATCGGCTCCGAGCTGCTGCCAGGGAGTACGGCGACTTGGTGGGTTGACGACTGAAACACAATTGGGGCCCCAACTCGAGGATCTACGAGGGGGGGGGCCTCCACCCTCGATTACACCAGAGAAAAACCCCAATCAGTGGATGGTTTGAAAACTTTGGCAGGTACCATGCCTGGCCGCATGTTCGCCGTAGGGCCCGAAGAGTCTAGCCTAGTTCTAGTAAGATCGACTGAGTGAGATCGATAGAGTGAGATGGATAATGATATCGATGGTCAGATCGATGGTTAAATCGATAATGAGATCGATTGAGTAAGATGCATAATGAGATTGATCATGAGATCAGTAATGAATCGTGGGATCGATAAAGAGATCGATTAAAAAAATCGACTGGGAACCATGGAACACGGAAACCCAGAACCACCGAAGTCGGCCTGGAACCAATAACCAAGAACCCAGGTCTCGGGAACCCCGAACCGAACCCAGCCGGCTACCAAAATCGGCGGGAAACTTTCGCCTAATCTTTCAATTATACCCGGATGACCCCAATCAGAGGATGGTTTGAACATTAGTGATATGGATGCTGAGATCGATTGTGATATCGATTGTGGAATTCATAGTGAGGACGAGTGTAAGGTCGATCGTGAGACTGGTAGTGCCGCCAGTGAAGTCGATTCAATGAGATCGATAGTGAGATCGATCGTGAGATCGCTCGTGCGATCTATAGTGAGATCGATTGTGAGATCGATAGTGGGATCGATTGTGAGGTCGACAGTGAGATCGATCGAGAGATTGGTAGAGGGATCGATGGTGAGACCAATCGATAAGAAGATCGACCAGAAGCCCGTGAACCCGGGAACCCCGCCGCCCACCGAAATCGGCGGGAAACCTGGAACTGGGAATCCAGGAACCCGGAACCGGGAACCCGGGAACCCAGCATGCTACCAAAATCGGCGGGAAACTTTCGCCTAATCTTTCAACTTCCGCTAGGACCCCTTCAGTGCAAGCACTGATTGGAGAATATCCGGTAGACTCCTTCAGTGCAAGCACTGATTATTGGGGGATAATGAGGGGTGCGTCCTAGGGGGCGAGAAATCGGCTCCGATCTGCTGCTAGGGAGTATGGCGACTTCGTGGGTTGACGACTGGAACAAAATTGGAGGCCCAACTCGAGGATCTAAGAGGTGGGTGGGCTCCACCCTCGATAATGAGGGGTGCTTCCCAAGTGGCGGGAATCGGCTCCGAGTTGTTGTTAGGGAGTATGGCGACGTCGCGGGGGCTTGTCGACTGGAACCAAGATGAGGGCCCAACTCGGGGACCTACGAGGGGGAGCCCTGGAGGCGACTGGGGGATCTGAACTGGATGGGCCCCGAGAAAATCAGTCAAGAAAGGGGGGAAGAAGGGCAAATCCTTTCAAAAGCGGTCCCCAGACCACTCCCAGGGCCCCTCTGGCGCAGTTTTTGTACCCCGGATCCGTTGTCGACGGCCCGCGGGCCCGAAAACATCCGAAAACGGCCCCCAGAGGCCCGCAAACCATCTCGAACCCAGAACCTCACACCCCGCCCCCTCTGCCTGCTGGCCAGACCCAATGCTGGGCCACCTCAGACCCCCCGCGTGCTCTGAAAGCCCAACTCGGGGATCTACGACGAGGGAGGGCCTCCACGAGAATGATACGGGTGCGTTCCAAAAGGCGAGGAATCGGTTCCGAGTCGCTGCCGGTGCCCGCCTGCACTGGTCCGAGCTGGCGTCGTACCCGTCGGTGTAGTCCGTGTTGCTCCTGCTGTAAGACGAAGCTAGAACGAGGATATAATCGGGTACGTATCGATCGAGAATATCTGAGATCCGGCGGCTCTGGAAAATGTATCGGGCGCCGCGGCCTTCTCAGAGCGTTCCAGAACGCTCTGAGAGCGTTCCAGAACGCCCTGAAAAAGGTTTATCCTCGTCTTAGCCCTGCCCGATGCTGGGTCGGGGTCGGGCGCAAGGGGTGTGGTGCGGTCGGGAACTTTTTCGTAGCGTGTCGCGGCGGCGGCCCAGCGCGGCACGCTGTGCCCCGCGAGCAGCTGGCGTGTCGCTCCGCTCCGCGCGGACGCAGGCTCCAGAAAGCGGGGGGCCTTGACGCCTAAGCACTGGTGAGCTGCATCACGCGTCGCGCCGCAGCGCGACGGGCCGCAACCCAGCGCATGGCAACACGCTCTCCAGAACTTCCCGACCGTGAGAGGGGCTCTGGCGAATCCGCTCACGCAGCTGCTTCCCCCAGCGCCGCCCGGCGCTGGGAGGAGCCCGCGCGCGGTGGGGCGACTTCGGGCCGACACCTGCTGCGTGCAGCAGGACTTCAGACTCCGGGCCCCGCCCCTTCCCCTCCTCCTCCTCCGCCTCCTCCGCCTCCTCCTCCTCCTCCTCCTCCTCCTCCTCCTTCTCCAACTCCCGCCCCCCGTTGTCCGACCCCGTCCTGTACTCGTGGAAGTCGAGGACGGGATTGCCTCTCGGCGGCGCGCAGAGAGGGAGGCACCCCCCTCGCCCTGGCTCCCTCTGGGGCGACCCCGAGGCAAGAGCGACCCCCATCGGATGCGCGACTTGCCGGGCGCTTCGTGCGCGATGGGGCCGCCGCGGCCCGCGTGCGCGGCCCCCCTCTGCGCGCCGCGCAGCCGAGGCCACTCTGCCGAAGGGCCACTCGCGCGCGAAGGACGACAAGAAGCGGGCCATACGCGCGAGGGCGGAGCGACCTTGCCTTGCGCGGTGGCTCGAGTGGGCCGCCAGCGCGGCGCACCGCTTGGAAGGGAGGGCGCTCACGCGCGACCTTGCGTGGGCAGCTCACGCGCGAGCGTCGGCACAATCGAGCACGGTGTTCTGCGCGCTTCGCGTGGAGCCGGCGCTGGCACACGTAATGGGCCCCGGCGGAAGCAGGTCCTCGACCCGGGGCCTCCCCCACCCAGGGGCAGCTTTTCATCTGGAGCCCATGTCTGACGGCCCTGGGGCGCCCATGGAGGGCCCAGGGGCAGCACGACAACGGCGGCAAGCTCTCGGGGCCCGGCTCCCTCGTGACCCACCTGCTGGGGGGACAGGACCAAGGGGTACCGATACCGCTGCTCCCTTGCCCTCTCCTGGGGTGTGTTCTGGCCTGCAGAATTTTCTAAAGGAATCAAGCCGTGGCGGCGAGAGATTCCATCGGGAGTGAGCAAACACGTCTTGATCGAAACGGCCTTTGCAAAAGCTGACAGGGGTACTCCTGGTGCGCACGGCACCGCATTCTGAGTGCACCCCAGCGGGGTCGCTCATCGAATTCCAGAATCAGCCCAGTGCATCTGGCGAAGCGCACGTCGAAGCCGACTGCGGACTGCACTGGCACACTCGCATGCCACTGCCGAATGGGACCGTCTGGGTCCTGATTCCAGGACGAGCAGCGGTCTCGGTACCTCTCACTCCTCCGAGGGCCAGTTTGTCTCGCGGCGGTGGTCGCCGCACACGAGCAGCTCCAGGTCGACGGGCCGGAACAGCCTCAGGAACATGTTCGCGGTCCTCGCCCGGGCGCCGGCGGCGGCGGACGGCACCGCGTCGGCGGGCGAGGGCCGGTCCTCCTCCACCTCTGGAGGGAAGACAGCTGTGCTCCTCCTGCTCCTCCTCCTCCTCCTCCTCCTCCTCCTCCTCCTCCTCCTCCTTCTCCTCTCAGCCTTTGAGCCTTTGTGCCATCACACCCCACGGAACGAGACCAGCGGCCCAAGGGGAACAGGGGGGAGGGGCCGAGTGGGCCCTGGGTGGGACGGCGCCCTCGCCTCCGCTGGCTGGGGATGCGCCGACCGAGGCAGCTCTTGGTGCGTGGGTCGATGCCCCCTCTTCGGGAGGTCGAGCGAGCGGCCCGCGCCCTCGCTCTCGGGGCAAGTGGCGCAACTCCTCCTCCTCCTCCTCCTCCTCCTCCTCCCTCCTCCTCCTCCTCATCATCATCATCATCAATCATCATCATCATCATCATCATCGTCCTCCTCTCCCTCCTCCTCCTCCTCCTCCTCCTCCTCTCTTTCTCTACTTCCTGCTCCTCCTCCTCCTCCTCTCCTCCTCCTCCTTCATTCTCCTCCTCCTCCTCCTACTCCTCCTCCTCCTCCCCCCCTCCTCTTCCTCCTCCTCCTCCTCCTCCTCCTCCTCTCCTTTCCTCCTCCTCCTCCTCCTCCTCCTCCTCCTCCTCTCTCCTCCTCTTTCTCTACTTCCTGCTCCTCCTCCTCCTCCTCCTCCTCCTCCTCCTCCTCCTCCTCCTCCTCCTCCTCCTCTACTTCCTGCTCCAGATTTCTTCAGATTGAGGCCTGGGGAGCCCAGAAGACGACCGTTACAGGATTCGGATGGCCCGTTCGGATTCGAGCATGGAGGTGGAGACACCATAGGAAGAGGTTCCCGCTCGAGACTCCCTCGCGAGTCGCTCACGGACGACACCCCCGTTCGAGACTTCCTCCACTCCTGAGCCAGGCCGAAGTTTTTGGCCCGCCCGAACCGGCCGCAGCAAGCACACCAAAACATCCTGGAGCCTGAAGTGTCCCCCACTCCTCCTGAGAGCGTGTGGGGGGTGGGAGGGTCTAACTAGTTTCGGCAGTCCAGCACAAAAGGGTGAGAACCAGGGCGCTGTAAGAACAACAAACGCGGCAAGAGAAACCGCTCCCACAATGCACGACTCGGTGGCCATTTTTGCCAGACGCTATGAAAAGATCCGAGGGTTTACCGCTGCCCTCAGTTCTAGCTAGCTGAACATCCCTGAACGTAGTCCTGGAAGTGTAGCCCAGCAGCAGGCCTGAACAGCGAGCAAGAGAAGCGAGACGGTCCGACTGTCTTTCCTTCAGCCTCAGGAGGTGCCCGCTACGTGGCACGTGTGCCGCTGCAGCTCGTGCCAATAAATCACACGCTTGATTGGCATGTCAAGCCCGCAAAGGGCAGCCAGGGCTGCTGCTCTCCAACTGCTGCTGTGGGCTGGCCCCTCGAAACATGCAGTCTGACCCTCTCCTCCATCACGAGCCCTAGCAAACACCTCTTCCCAGAGTTCTCCAAAGGGGACAGTCAGCGACGTTCTGATCTAGATCTTGGGCTTAGGCATTAATCAGGGAATGGCAGTCACCCCCTCGGGCTCCCATCCGATCTTTCCTGGACAAGAGTTTCTCAAACTCAGGAGCACAGGACAAAGCTCGCTTCCGAACATGTCCCGGAGTAGGTGAGGCAGAGGCAGATGGCCATGCGCACTGGCCAAGATGTCTCCCTGCTCATTGGCCATGGCGAAAGCCCCCCCTGCACTACAGAAGTGACGAAACTCGGGCTCGAGAACCATCCTCCTCCTCCTCCTCCTCCTCCTCCTCCTCCTCCTCCTCCTTTCCTCCTCCTCCTCCTCCTCCCTCCCCCCTCCTCCTCCTCCTCCTTTCCTCCTCCTCCTCCTCCTCCTCCTCCTCATCCTCCTCCTCCTCCTTCTCCTCCTCCTCCTCCTTCTCATCGCCCTCCTCCTTCTCACCGTCCTCCTCCTTCTCATCGTCCTTCTCATCGTCCTCCTCCTTCTCATCGTCCTCCTCCTTCTCATCGTCCTCCTCCTCCTCCTTCTCATCGTCGTCGTCCTCCTCCTTATCTTCCTCCTACTTCGTCTCCTCCTCCTCCTCCTCCTCCTCGCACTCCTGTGCACATACACCAATCCTGGTCAGGCCCGTCGTGGACAGGATCGGTATAGGTACATGGTTCTCTTCGCCCGGACCTCCATGCACCTGAGGAAGCCGAGCTTGAAGCTGCTAAATTTCTCGTGGATGCTCTGGTTGAGGAACCAGTTGACGTAGAGGTCCACGTACTCGTGCCTGTTCGCGTTGGTCACTGGGATGGTGTCGCCGCCGTCCTTCAGCGGCACCTCCACCACGGCCCCGAAGTTCTCGTAGCTGGCGACGAAGTTGCGGCAGAACACCTCCTCCACATTCCCTTCGAATTCCAGCATCTCCGTCAACGACTTGGCCAAGACCGGCTGGATGTCCATCAGGGTGTCGAGGGTGCCCGGGATGAAACCGGCTGGGTCGTCGACCAGCAGCTTCTCATAGATCACCAGGGGGAAGCGTATGGACAAGATGACCTGGTTGTAGATCGCCATGCCGAGCAGTGCCCCAAACATCTCGTATTGCATGTTCGACTCGAAGCTCCCAGGGTTGAACCAGTACGTCTTGTTATTACTGTTATCCGCAACCGTGCCGCGAGGCACTGAGTGGAGTGTCCCCAATTCCCTTGAGAGTCCTCTGTATAGAGGAATGAGTCCGCCACCGTGCCGCGAGGCACTGAGTGGAGTGTCCTCGGATCCATGGGAGTCCTATGTGTGAGCAAATTCGCGGGCCAAGACGGACCCCAAGAGGGCTTCAAGACGACCCAGGAGACCTCCAAGACGTCCAAGATGGCCTCCAAGACGGCGCGCCCCAAGAGGGCCCCACCCAGGTCGACCCAGAGAGGTCTCCAAGACGGTCTCCGACGGCGTCAGCCGGGTCAGGAACGCCCTCAGGCGGCCGGAGCCCCCCAAAGAGTGTCCGAAGGCCCCCCCCAGAGGCCCAAGGAAGCCCCAGAGCCCCTGAGAGACTTCCAACAGGTCTCATAGGAGGTTTCCTCCTCCTGCTCCTCCTCATGTTTTCTCTCTCTCCTCCTCTTCTTCTTTCTCCCGCACGTTTTCCCCGAATGGTTTCCAAAACGGCTGGGGGAACACGTAGTCCGATGGCTGAGCTCTGGCCGCAACGCTCGGCCACAGAGGCGCTTCCAAAAGGCAGGGGGCGGCGGCGCTTCGCCGCAGGCGTCTTCGATCCGCCGCCCCCTGTTGACTCATCAAAGGGGTGCCTGGCGTGCCGAGCCTTTGAGTGTTCTGGTTATGTGAAAGACTTCCCACCGACCTCGGGCCCACCCCCGCCGGCCCTGCGGAAACTGCAGCGACGGCGGACATGCGGCCACTACGACGACACGAACACAGACGACGACGACGACGACGACACGAACACAGACGACGACGACGACGACGACGACGACGACGACGACGACGGCGCCGACGACGGGGGCGACTGCGACGGAAGGGAGAACAAGAGGACGACGAAACGGGCGACGGCATCAGCAACGGCGACAGCGGAACAACAACGACAACCAAAGCAGCGACGACCGACGTTTTCATTTCATCGGCCCTCGCCGCCGAACCACCCGACCTGGGCGTGCACCAGCGTGTCACGGGGCGGCATTGGTGGCGCTGGTGGCGCCGCCCCGTTGGCAGCGCCTGGCGCCCCGTTGGCAGCGCCAGACGCTGGGGCGATGGCCGCGGCGGCCACGCGCCGCTCGACGGCCGCGATCCTCGCGGCCGGCCCCGTTTCATGGAGGGCGGGACTGGGCGTCTCTCGAAACGAGTCCCAGTGGGTGCTGCATGATCACTTCATGACGCGGGCATCCCTCTCTTCCGGATGCTCCGACATGGTTGGCGCGCACTTCTCGCGGGCAGATGGCGGCGCATGCCCACCTCACCAGAGCACCCGAATGGGCGACGCACAAATCATGCAGGAGGCCTCCTCCTCTTCTTCCCCATCCTCCCTTTCTCTTCCCTTCCCTTCCTCTCCCATGTGCTCACCCAACGCTCTGCCGCATGGGCGTTCCCAAACAGCAGGGGGCGGCGGTGATTCGCCGTGGGCGTCGTCGATCCGCCTGTGCTTGCCACAGGGGCGCACGGCATGCTAAGTGTCAGGGCCTCTCATTGGCCCTTCCAAGCGGTTCCCGGTGGGGTCTCGGTCGATCCTGCCAGCCACCCGAAAAAAGGTGTCTTGGAGGCGGGAGGCACGAGTGCTTCCGCTCCAGATGGCCACAACCAGATGGCCCGAAAGGGTTTCCCAAGACGGCCAAGACGGCATCCAAGACGGCCAATGTGGCCCCGACAAGGGAAGAGAGCCCAAGATGGCTCCAATATGTTTCCAAGACGGCCCAAGATGCCCCCACGGCAGCCTAGAGATGGCCTCAAGATGGCCAGAGAGGCCCCAGGACGGCCCAAGAGGCCCCCAGGACGGCCGTAAGACGGCTCCAAAGACCTCCAAGACGGCCCTCGAGCGCTCCAAGACGGCCTTCGAAGGCCAAGATGTCCCTTAGAGGTCCCTTAGAGGCACCCAGAGGCCCCCACGAGGCCCCTCAGAAGCCCCCAAGATGCTCATAGAAGCCCCCCAGGAGGCCAGGAGGCCCCAAGAGGGCCTCAAGAGGCCTCCTCTTCGTCTTCTTCTTCCTCCTCCTCCTTCCTCTCCTCCCTATCCTCCCTCTCCTCCTCCTCCTTTCTCTTCTTCTCCCATGTGTTCCACCAAGGTGTTCTACAACGGCTGGGGAAGCACACAGTCCAATAGCCTGGCCAGACTTAAGCGAAAGGTTTGGTGCATGGGCGCTTCCAGAAGGCAGGGGGTGGCGGTGAATCGCCGTAGGCGTTTTGAATAAGTGAACATCGCGTAATTCGGGTCGTACAGCTTCTCCACCAGCAGCTCGAAGAATTCCTTCTTCACGCCGCCCTCGTCGATCCCTTCTTCGTCCTGGAACTGAACCTTGAGTTTCTTCCGGAACTCCGATGGCTTCAGCCGCGCGATACTATGCAGAGTGTCTTGGACGATATCGTCCCTCTTGACCTTGATAACAAGGTAGGGGTTCACTCGCCTGTGGCCCTGCATAACCTGATTCATGACCTCCTGCCTCGTCTCGATCCGCTGCCTCGTGGACGAGTCGAACATGAGAAACCTGCACTTGTTACTGGCGTCGAGGCAGAAGGGGTGTGCTAACAAGCCGAAGGTGTCGTTGTTCACCACCGCCTTCCGCTCGATCTCCTGCAGGCTGCTCGCTCTCCGTGGCGGCTGCTGCATCAGCGTCATGTCCCGCTCCGCCTCTATGTGCTCGAATAGCATGGAGTGGTCAAACTCGTGGGCCAAGATCCTCTCGCAGCTGTTCAGCGCGTCGTTGAAGAACTCCTCGTCCTTCAGACATCTGGGCGGCGGCCCCCTGCCCTCACCGCCGACCACGGCCGCGGTCCCCCTCGTGAGCTCTGCCCGGCGCCACCGCTTCCGCGCCTCGCGCTTCCTCAGGTTGGCCCTCCAGAACACGTCGATGCAGCACAGCGCGTTCTTGCACTTCTGCGACGTCCGCGCCACGAAGTAGGTCCACACCTGCTCCGGAATGTGGTCGGCCCGGGCCTGTGCGTCCGGTGGCATGTCCGAGGCGGAGAACTCGTTGAGGAATTCTATGGTGATCAGCTGCTGGAGGTTCTGCACGATCTCCTGGAACTCCTCGAACGACACATTCCTCTCGTCGGCAAACCAGGCCGCCAGTGTGTCACGGTGCTCCGGCTTCAGGATCCTGAAGCCTCGCAGCACGCGGTGCCACTGGCTGTAGCTGTCGGGGTCACCGAGGCTGGGGTGAAACAGAATCAGAACGAGGAGCCGCAGGCCCTGAGGGCAGTCCTAGAAGAAGGAAAAGCGGCGCAAGCGTGTCGAGACTTGGGAGGTCTGCGAAGCCTTCTCGAGTAGGCGCTGGCCGCCCCCCCTCGCCTTGGAGCGCGGAACGCGCCGGGGGCACTGCCAGGGGTGCCGCCGGGAGGTGCCACCAAGGAAGGGTGGCCCAGCACCGACACAGCAAACCCGCGCGGACCTCGGACAACTTGTGCGGATTCAACTTTCCGTGCCCCGCGGTCCAGGAAGCTGGGCAAGATCTCCGGGTAGCCGAACGGCTCGCCAGACCTTCGAGGACACCAGCCGCGCACCGGCACAGCTCGATGCGCGTTGCCGCGCGTGCCGCTTCCGCGCGTGCATGCATGCATCGGCCAGGCCCGGTACACGGTCCCAGAGATCCGATGCCGTGATTTGTTCAATACCCGGCCACACGCAGGAGTGATCCTGGGTAGGAGTGACCTTTGGTGCGCGGCTTTCTGGGGCCGCGGGGGGGCAAACCACAGGCGCGCAAGACGCCACTAATTATCGCATCGCGTTCGGCGATTGGGGGGCCCCACCGGGCCCGCACCAAAGGTCACTCCGGCGAAAGGTCACTCTTACGTCTGGTCGAAATACAGAGTCCCCAGAAGCGACCCACTCCCCAGGACCGGCTCGGCGTCCCGAGTCGATGCTTGACGCTCCCGAGGCCCGGCGAGGGCCTCGGGAGGCCGACGGCGGCGCAAAAAACCTCCGTCTTGGTTTCTGCAGTGCGCTGGCTCTCCGGGCTTGGCGCCGTCCGAAGACCAGGTGCCGTCGCTCCGGCGCGGCCTCACGAGCTTCCTCGCCAGGGCGCTGGTCAGGTCGCCGCACGCCTCCAGCAGGCGCTCCAGCTGGCCCAGCGGCTCGCTCATGCTGGCGTCGCCCTCGGGATCCCGCGGCGCGGGCTCAAACTGCGCCACCTCTGAAGGGGCCCTGGGACACACACAAATAAATTCACACAAATAACAGGATTCCCCATATTTCCTCATATTTTCTGGGCTTCTGTCTTCTTCCCCCCCACTTCCCATGTTTTCCCATATTTTCAAGGGGAATCGACGATTAATTGTGTCTGTGTGTTTCTTTCCCTCCTGACACCTTCTCGTACCACGCCCTCAGCGCCGGCAGGTCGACCGCAGGGATGTGCCCTCCCGGGGGAGCCGCCTCGGAGTCCACCTGGGCCCGCGCCGGAAGCCCTGGATCGCAAAAGCCCTGTGCCTTTTCGATCCAGGGCTCGATCAAGCTGAAGGGGCCCACAAACACACAAATAAATACACACTAATAACAGGGATCCCCATATTTTTCCATATTTTCTGGGTTTTTGCTTCCCCCCCACTTCCCATATGTTCCCATATTTTCGTGGGGATCGACGATTAATTGTGCCTGTGTTTTTTTCCCTCCTGACAAAGCCCTGGATCGAAACAGCCCCGGATCGAAAAAGCCCTGGCACCCCTGGAGCGGGATTTGCCTTGCTGCCGCTGGCGGCCGCCAACGGAGCCGCCCTGGCTTCACTGCCGCCGGCTTCTGCCGCCGCGCGCCGAGGAGGAGAGGGCAAGCTTTCGATCCCTCGAAGGCGAAGGCGAGGCTCTTTTGCTGGAGCGCCGCACCTGGCCAGCTCCAGCAGTACACCCGGGCGCGCTGGCGTTTTGACCTCCCTCGTGGGCCTCAGGGCCCCGTCAGTCGGGACTCTGACAAACCAGGACTCCTTGTGGCGCCCCTGAGACAGCTGCACCCGTGGACCGGGGCATCACCCCTTCTCGCCCTGGTTCGCAAAGCCATGGTGTCCGCCAAGCTTCGTCCGAAAACTTGCGCCGCCGCCCCCCCAGGGACGGTGGCGAAGGCGCAGGCAAACCGACATCAGGTCGCCAGAGGGGAATGTCGGGGGGAGCCCTAGGCCCGACCCGGGCCGGTCGCCCCTCCCCAGGAGGGTCGCCGTTCCCAAGGCTCGGAGCGGCACTCCCTGGTTCACGGGCGAAGCTTGACGGGTCCGTGCTGAAGTGTGCCAATCAGGAGCGGCCAAGAGGGGGGCGTCCAAGAGGGGGGGGGGGCACAAATCATGGCCGGCGGCATGTGCGCGGCCCGGGGGGGGGGGCCAGGGACCCAATGAGATAAGAAGCGGCGCCGTGGAACCTGGGGAAAACATCCCGGCCCACGCCCTGAGACCCCCCCCTGGTCCTCACCCCCCTCTTGGCCGCCCCCGAGCAGAGCCCTGGTTCGCAAAGCCATGGCGCCCGGGACCCCGAGGGTCCCTTCCTGGATGCACTCCGCGGAGCAAAGGCTCGTCGCGTGCGTGTCCGCGGGCCGACGCCCGCCCGCCTCGTCGCGCTCGAAGTCGGGCAGCACGCGCGAGAGGCAACAACGTGGTGCCTCCCCCTCCTCCTCCTCCTCCTCCTCCTCCTCCTCCTCCTCCTCCTCCTCCTCCTCCTCCTCCTCCTCCTCCTCCTCCTCCTCCTCCTCCCCTTCCTCCTCCTCCTCCTCCTCCTCCTCCTCCTCCTCCTCCTCCTCCTCCTCCTCCTCCTCCTCCTCCTCCTCCTCCTACCTCCTCCTCCTCCTCCTCCTCCTCCTCCTCCTCCTCCTCCTCCTCCTCCTCCTCCTCCTCCTCCTCCTCCTCCTCCTCCTCCTCCCCCCTCCCCCCTCCCTCCTCCCTCCGTCCTCCTCCTCCCCTCCCTCCTCCTCCTTCCTCCCTCCTCCTCCTCCTCCTCCTCCTCCTCCTCCTCCTCCTCCTCCTCCTCCTCCACTCCTCCTCCTCCTCCTCCTCCTCCTCCCCCTCCTCCGCCTCCTCCACCTCCCTCCTCCTCCTCCTCCTCTCCTCCCTCCTCCTCCTCCTCCTCCTCCTCCTCCTCCCTCCCCTCCTCCTCCTCCTCCTCCTCCATCCTCCTCCTCCTCCTCCTCCACCTCCTCCCCTCCCTCCCTCCTCCTCCTCCTCCTCCTCCTCCTCCTCCCCTCCTCCCCTCCACCTCCTCCTCCTCCCTCCTCCTCCTCCTCCTCCTCCTCCACCTCCCTCCTCCTCCTCCTCCTCCTCCTCCCTCCACCCCTCCTCCCTCCTCCTCCTCCTCCTCCTCCTCCTCCTCCTCATCCCTCCTCCTCCTCCTCCTCCTCCCCTCCTCCTCCTCCCTTCTTCCTCCTCCTCCCCTCCTCCTCCTCCTCCTCCTCCTCCTCCTCCTCCTCCTCCTCCTCCCCCTCCTCCTCCTCCTCCTCCTCCCTCCTCCTCCTCCTCCTCTCCTCCTCCTCCTCCTCCTCCTCCTCCTCCTCCTCCTCCTCCTCCTCCTCCTCCTCCTCTAAGAGGTGTCCAGTCTCTCTCCTCCAAATGACAGTTTCGTTTCTTTCCTGGGTAACGGTCGTTGCACGGGGGGCGGGTCGGGCGGGAGGGTAACGGTAACGGCGGCCGCGGCGTGCACCCGCCAGGCTTCGTCCGTGCCACTGGCGCACCAATCGCCTGTGGGCACGATAGCATGCAGGGTGGAGTCCAGCCCACCCCCCCAGCACGAGCGTTAGTGTTACCTGGCGACGGGGGGTGGGCCCGGGTAACGAGGTTACCCTGGGGAGGGGGAAAAAACGCTCACCTGTCTTTCTCCTCCAGTCTCTACCCGAGGGCCCTGGCCTTCCTCCCCGCCAGTCGCCGCCAGGCATATGCCAGGCCCCCCCCCCTTGCGGAGCCCGCTCTCGGCTCGCTTCTGCTGCCGCTGGCCTGCTGTGGGGGCCCTCCGCCCTGCAGATCGCCCCCGCCGAGGGCGGCCGCCGAAGACCAGTAAAAGCCAAGGCGAACGAATCCATAACCTCTACGAGCCTCAACAGGAAAAACAAGAGCCTCGCGCAAAGGTCCTCGACCTCCAGCCTCTCTCTCTCCCTCTCCCTCTCCCTCTCCCTCTCCCTCTCTCTCGCTCGCGGCAAGAGCGCGATGGCCTAATACACTCAATGCTCCGGTCCCCGAGCGTGCCGCAAGGATTTGTCTGGGGGTCCTATGGGGGTCCTATGGGGGTCCCAGGATCGTGGCTGCGTCGCGAATCGTTCACGACGGGGGCCCCGAAGCTCACGATCTCGTCCCCCGGACGGGCCTCCCCCGGGAAACCGAAAGGTACCGACAGCGCTAATCCACGGACCTCTCTGGGGGTGCGTTCGGACCGGAACTTCGAGGCGAATCCAGCGGTGGCGACGAGGAGCTCCCGGGAGGCCTAAAACAGGCGGAAACGAGGGAAACGGTAGCGGTATAGGTACCCCTTCCCCCCTCGGGGGCGCGCAAGCATGGATTAGCGATCCAAGGATTTGGCGCGCGGTCGCCCAATCCATGGATCGGGGGAAGGTGCCCTCCCCAAAATGCGGCCAGTGCCGCCTCGCTCGGCGGCAGAAATCCGCGCCTTCCCATGGAAACGGGACCCGTCGCTCATCCACGCCTCCTTGACCCATGCTTGCCATCGCCTGGGTATGGGTGCCCCTTCCTCCCCGGGGCCTCCCGCCCGCACGCGACGGTGGCCCCGGGCAGGAGTGGCCATTCGGTGCGCGGCCCGCCGCCCCCCGCGCGCGAGGCGACGGCGACGGCCCGCGCGCCCAGGCCGGGCCTCCCCCTCGCCATCGCGAGCGCCGCGCGGCCCAGAGGTCGCCCTGGAAGGGGGCCGCGCTCGCGTGCGGCTGGCCCTCGCCGCGGAGCCCCTTGACCGCACGCCCCCGTGCGCCCAGAGGTCCGACGCTCCGAACGAGTTGGAGCGGGCGGTTTGGGGGTCGCTGTTTCGGCCTGGGGGGGCCCTCGCCGGGCCTCGGGAGCGTCAGCAGGCGACTCGGGACGAAACACCGGCCCTGGGAAAGCGGTCTGGACCTCCGGGGGCCCGTGCATCGGAAAAATTGGAGCATGCAGCTGGATGTCTGAGTGGGGGGCCTCCCAGACGGCGCCCCCCGAAGGCCCGAGCTGCACGAAAGACCCAGAAGAACTGGGGGCTGCTTGCCCGCGGCGCATATTTGTCAGGTCGAATCGACGACGGCAATGTCGGACGACGACGAACGAGGCAAGTTCCAGAACCGGCCACCTCCATGGGATGCGCCCGCTCCAACGGGAACGCAGTGCCGAGCAGGAAGGGGTCCCTGAAGGAGGAAACCGCCTGCTTGAGGGAGAGAGGAGGAGGAGGAGGATGAGGATGAGGAGGAGGAGGAGGAGGAGGAGGAGGAGGAGGAGGAGGAGGAGGAGGAGGAGGAGGGAGGAGGAGGAGAGGAGGAGGAGGAGGAGAGGAGGAGAAGGAGGAGGAGGAGGAGAGCAGGAGGAGGAGGAGGAGCAGGAGGGGGAGGGGGAGGAGGAGGAGGAGGAGGGAGGAGGAGGAGGAGGAGGAGGAGAGAGGAGGAGGAGGAGGAGGAGGAGGAGGAGGGGAGGAGGAGGAGGAGGGAGGATGGGGAGGTGGGAAGAATGCAGAGGACGGGGGGCCCCTGAAGGAGGGCACCGCCTGCTCGAGGCCCTCCACCGAGGCCAGATCCAGCGACTGCAGGGATGGGGCGGACGTGTTGCCTGTGAAAGACCGGGGAGGAGGACGACGACGAGGGGACGAGGATGGGAAGAGAAGGCGCGAGGATGAGGATGGGAGAGGGGAGGAGGGCGACGGGGTGAAGAGAGAGGAGGAGGATGAGGAGGACGATGAGGGATGGGGAAGACGATGAGAAACAAGGAGGAATGCGTCGCCAGCGAGCATGCATGCACGGCCGTCCGCCCTGACAGATCAAGCGGGGAGGCTTGGAGCCAAAACGCCTCCCCGCACACGAGCACGCCGCAGAAGAAACGCGGGGAGCCCCTGGCATGACGAGGTCGCTGGTGTGCAGAAGCCCTTGCGAGGCCAGCGATGCAGCCTGGGCCGAGGACGGCGTGCAGGCGAGCCAATCTGGGCCGTGCACCGCGCCCTCGTGGTCGAGAGCCTCCGACATCCCTTGGCATGCCGCACTCGAGGCCGAACGGCGGCTGGCCAGCAGGCACGCGGAGGTGGTGGCGGAGACGACCACAGCCGGCACCGAGCCCCTGGAATCTGGATGCTGGGCCGTGAGCAGGCTGACCGCTCCAGCTGTGGAGGCACATCCTCGCGCGTTGCCGCCGTTGCCAATACACACTTCGGAGTCCCCCGCGTCACTGGTGAGGCAGGGCGTCTCGGTCAAAGAGCCTTGGGAACCGGTTGCACATGCGGTTGAAAATGTGGCAGCGGACGGAACTGTCCGGGGGAATGTTGCCCACGATGGCATCCACAAACATTAAATCAGTCGCAAATTCTCACACAACGGCCTGCAAGAGGAATGCTGGAAAATCTTCCAACGTGTCCCTCTGCACCCGCAGTCGTTTACGCAGCAAATCCTGGGCGACCGAATCGGCAACTGCGCGAATGTCCCCTGCGACTGGGAGATCCCACTGTTGGCATTTGTATGTGCAGAACTCCCAAAAATGCCACATCTATTCTTGCAGGAAGTGGCAACTGTCGCAGGCACTCCTCCAATCAACGTCCAAAGAATAGCACAGCATGTTTTCCCAATGAAGGAAACTGCCTCTAATTGCATGGATCAAATCCAAACGCAATCGCTTGTTTGTAATGTTTGGCATGCTATTCTTTTCCCACCAATTACGCGATCGGATCGTCCGGCTCCTCCTCCAAAAAATGAGCCGCGGTACTGTTTGGCAGCGACCCCCCTCCACCAGTTCAATACTAAATTGAGCAAGCGCACGAAGATTGGGCAAATATTTTGCACGCATCAGTTTCAGTATCAAAGCCTAGGTGTGGGCATTGGCGGCCATGGCACTTTCACGTGTCTTGAGGCGGACCTAAAGGACTTGGCTAAGGTATTGTCATCCTGGGCCCCTTGAGCTTGCACAGAGAATGCCTATTGCGATGCCAAGCGCACGAACTTGAAAGGACACTGGGCGATGGCCTACCTGACCAGGTCCGCAATGCACGTTCCACCATTCCCCCACCAAGGGAGGCTCTTGCGCGCGCCCGACTGTGTGCTTCTGCCCGCCGCAGGCGATGTTTCAACGCCTCCACTGCTTCTGCTTTGGCGGTAAGAAAGGCCCAGAGTAGACCCAGGTGGGAGGCCAACGAGCACGTCACCGGCATTTTCGGCCGCCAGCCCTATGCTAGCAGGCGGCTGCACGCTCGCATCAATAAGAGATCCACAGACTATGCGCTCCAAGGAAGTGGGGTCCCAGCGAAACTCCATGTCAGTGAGAACAGCAGTCGGCTCCCGCTGAATGATCCGGGAGTGCTGCACGCGGCCCGCACAAGTGATGAAGCTGTCGGCCCAGATCAGATGTGTCAACAGCGGATCCCTCGCATCGAAAGATGTTCCTATGTTCAGGCTACGCCAGCTGCGGACATATGGTTCCAGCGCGAACTCGATCACGCAATCGAACAAATCTGGCGTATCCACGTCGTCCTGCTTCCCGCCGACCTCAAAAAGGAAAGACTCGCTGGCCGACATCCCTGGCAGAAGCGTAGATCAACACCGCAGCACCGCGCGAACGAGATTGGGGTGAAGGTTTTTTGCCAGCAAAGTTCTCGACAAGTGCCAGTGGCGAATCTAATCGACAACTGTCGATGTCCAACATCTAGTGGCGCCGCCCACTGCCTGACAGCAGTGACAGTTTGGGTCTCGATCGGTTTGATTACCATGATTACATGTGAAACCTGCTTTGAAACCAAGTGTCGCCACGAAGCTGGGCGACACGGAATGCCGAAAGAGCGATTGAATGCTTCATGCGGGTGTACCACATTGCAGAACAATCCTCAACCTCCTCTCCCTCCTCCTCCGACTCCTCCACCTCCTCCTCCTCCTCCTCCTCCTCCTCCGCCCTCCTCCTCCTGCCTCCCGCCTACTCATTCCGCCCTTTTCGTATAAGTAACTGCTCCCTGCCGCACCCCGATCATCGTGTCGACAGGGCGGGCCAGGCGTTTCGCCTGAGAATTCCACATCATTGATGATCCTTAAACGCAAAGTTCATAACGGTTTCAAAGATGGAGTGCGGCGGGTTTTCGGAATGATGCTCTCGCCGTAGCGCCGCGCAGACTCGTCTTCAAGCATTGCAGCAGCTTCGAAGACGGAGGCGGTTCCTTTTCAAAATGTGGCTCTCGCCTTAGCGTCGCGCGCATTGGTCTTGAACATTAGGAATCGCACGGTTGAAGTCCCAGAAATGATGTCATGGCACAGTCTAGGATTGCCTGGACGCAACATCCACGTTGATTCGCGGCGCTGAAGCCCCAGCAGTTGTGTCCTGGCACGGTCGAGGATTCTCAGACAGTTGTCTTCCAACGGGGCGCTTCCCAGAATGAGAACTCATTGTCGTAGGGACCTGTAAAGACGGAACTTGGAGGGAGGGTTTATTGCAGCATCGTTGATACATCTTGGGTTTAAGCTGGCCCTCCTCCTTCTTCTCTTTCCTCCTCCTCCTCCTTCTCCTCCTCCTTCTCCCCGTCGGCCTCCTCCTTCTCATGCCTCCCTTCTTCCCTCCCTTCTTACTCCTCCATGTGTCCTCCCTTCATATTAACGATATGATGTCCTTATCCTTATCCTCATGATGAGTTTCCCCCCCTCATCTCCATTCGCTGGACAGGGCTTGCACTTCAGATTTCTCACTGATGCTGTAAGGATCTCGTCTTGGGGGGCCGCAATCGGCCATTCCCGGTCGCCGCCTTGGTGACCTACGTCTCCCTGTGAACCACAGTCGGTCGTTCCCGCTCGGTGCACTCTGGTTGGTGCCCTACGGATCCCTGTGGGCCGTAGTCGGCCATTCCCGCTCGATGCACTCCAGCTGGTGCCCTACAGTCAAGCTGCTGCAGGAAGGAACACTAGATAAGGAACGAAGCCCCTTTCGGCACCAAACGAGCCTGGATGCACGAAGAGGGCTAGAGGAGCAACCAAGGAATGACCGGCCCCCTGCCCCCCTGCCCGTGACCCTCTGCACCCCGCAGTCGGCCTCTCCTCCTCCGCACCCCGGGAGCGACGATACAGCACAGGGATCTTGCGCGCGGAGGCACGGCGACCTCGCGCGGTGGCTCCCGCGGGCCACCGGCGCTGCGAGCCACCACGCAGACGAGGGCGCTCACGCGCGGCCTCACGCGGGCAGCTGACGCGCCGGCGTCGGTGGCGGCGCAGCCCCGTGCTCCCGCGCCGCTCCCGCGGCCCGTGCCGCGCGGCGCTCCCTGCCCTGCGGCTCCCCGCACGGGCCCGCGGCCGGCCGCTCCAGCCCTGCGGCAGGTGCCCTGTGGGCCCGTGGCTGCTGGCCGGCGCCCGTGTGGCTCGACCACAGGGAGCGCGGACGTCGGACGTGCGGGGCCCGTGCTCTGGCATCGCGCGGCGTCCTCGGATCTCCAGATCTCCGCGGCATCGCCCCCCTCCTTCGCTCCGCGGCCTCCCACCACGGCACCTTTTGCCCCTCTCTTTCTTCCCCATGCTGCTGCACGTGTTCGTTTGCTCCTCCTACTCCTCTTCCCCTTTTCTCCTTCTTCTCCTTCTTCTCCTCCTCCCCCTCCTGCGCAGGGGGGGGGGGCAGGGAGAGGATAAGGCGGAGGAGAAGAAATAGAACAACGACGTGACGACGACCTTCTGTGAGGAAGTTGGAGCAGGGGACAGGAAGCGGAAGCGGAGCCGGAGGAGGTTGAGGAGAGAAGAATGAAGGCGACAACGACGGCCACCACCACGACGACGCCGTCGACGCAGCCGACGCCGACGTGACGACGACGGCGTGACGATGAGTGTCTGTGAAGAAGTCGGGGGTGGAGGAGGAAGCATTCACGAGGCTCAGTGGTGCTACGAGGGAGAAAGAGACAGAGAGAGAGAGAGAGAGAAATGGCAGTAAAGACGAAGAGAGAGAGAGAACCAAAACAAAAACAAAACAACAAAAAAAACAAGGTGTGAGAGATATAAAGAGAGAGCGATAGATAGAGAGAGAGAGAGCGCCTAACCTCGGACAGAGTCCCTGTCTGGGCCCCCGAGCCACACGTGCTCGAGGCGGACCCGCCTCACAACGTGGGAGGCGCCGAAGATTTGGGCCCCTGGCCCGGCGCTCGGTGTTGTTGCTGCCAGTGTCCGCCCGCTCCTGCGAAGCCTCCTCCTCCTCCTCCCTCCTCCTCCGCCTCCTCCTCCTCTCCAGCGGCGTTCTCGTGGCCACGCGGTCGGGTCCGCTCTGAACTCCGGCGCGCAGGGCGCAGCTCACGAGGAAGTCCAGGTGGCGCCCCGCGAGGGCGCGACGCCCGCGCCCGCGCCCCGCGAGGAGGCGAGCAGGAGGGCCGAGGGGGGGAGCGAGGGAGGCACGGAGAGGAGCGGGCCGCGGCCCCGGGTCCAAGGAGGAGGGCACCGAGGGCCAACATCTGCAAGGCCTGCAGGACCGAGGTGCACGGCGCGAAACGCCAATGCAGCCTTGCATGTGTATATATATATATATATATACATACATACATAAATACATACATACATATATACATCTATATAAATATAGATATACACGTGTACAGATGAAGAAGAACGAAAGAGACAGAGAACAACATATATATAGAGAAAAAGAGGCCAGAAACAAAAAAACACATAGCGTCGAGAGCGAGAGGAGAGAGAGAGAGAGAGGAGAGAGAGAGAGAGACAGACACACACACACAGAGGACAGGAAACAAGACAGAGCGCCGATAGAGAGAGAGAGAGAGAGAGGCAGAGAGAGGCAGGGAGAGCGCGAGAGCGCGAGAGGACGCGGCGGAGGAGGCGGGGGACGAGGACGACGGCGGCAGCCTGTGTAGAAGTCGGGGGCCGGGGCCCCAGACCTCATGCGCTCGATCGCCCTGGCCGCCGCCTCGGTGGGGCCGAGCGCCTCCTCGAGCTGGACCGCCTGCCAGAACTTCGCGAAGGCGGCCCTCTGGTCCTGGCTGGAGGAGGGCGACCAGAGCAGCAGGAGAACGAGCGGGGGGAGGGGGAGGGGGAGGAGGCGGAGGAGGAGGGGAGGGGGAGGAGGAGGGGGAGGGGGGAGGAGGAGGAGGAGGAGGAGGAGGAGGAGGAGGAGAAGGAGGAGGAGAATGAGGAGGAGGAGGAGGAGGAGCAGCAGGAGGAGCAGCAGGAGGACGAGCGGGGGGAGGGAGGAGGAGGAGGAGGAGGAGGACCAGTGACGACTATACAACCCAGGACGCATCCACGATATTGCAATGAACCCTCCCTCCAAGTTCCCTCTTCACGGGCCCCTGCAAGAGTGAAACCGCTCCTCGCGGGGTAGGCACCGAGGTGATCAGAGTTGCTGCCTGGAGTGCTGAGGTGCCTGCTGCGTTCTCTCTCGCGTCCTCCCTGCTCCTCCTCGTCCCTGCTTCTCTCGTCCCGCCCACCTGCTGGTCTCGCCATCTGTGCTCTCTGCGCAGATGCGTCCGGGCGCGAGCCTGCGCGCAAGACGCCAGGCGTGCGACGACGACATCACACCTGGGGCCTCCGACCGTGCTTTGGGCGCCCGCCCCGGAGGCCGAGCCCGCACGGTGCAGCGCGATGTGGTCCTCCCGCCCTGGCTGCCAGCCTGGTCCCCGGAGGGCGGTGCACAGCCATTCTCGCTTGTCAGGAACACTTCCCTCCCCTTGGTGGTGACGGAGGGCAGGCGGCGGGGATGGGCGGGCTGGGTGGCGGGGTGACTGATTGGGCTGGCTGCGCTGGTTGGCGGGTTGGCTGGTTGGGCAGGTTGACTTGGTTGGGCTGGCTGGTTTGGGCCGGCTGGGGCAGCTTGGTTTCGATGTTCGTTGCGGGCCAGGCTTCCTTGAAGACATCCGTCTGAAAATCGGCAAGCGTGCCAAAACACCATTCCTGGGACTCCACCGCCGCGAATCAACTTGACTGTTGCGCCTTGACAATCATACATTGCGCCAGAATGCCATTCCTGGGACTTCAACCCTACGGATCTTCAAAACTGCTGCAGCACTTTAAAACGAATGCGGGCGGTGCTAAAGCAAGAGCCTCATTTTGAACAGGAGCCGCCTTCAATCACTGAAACGGCTGCAGACTCTTAACCCGAAGATGCGCAGCGCTAAGGCGAGAGCCACATATTGAAAGCAGCCCGTTCTCCACAATTGAAACTGAGGCCAAAAGTTTGAACATGAATGTTCGCGGCGCTAAGGCTTGAAGCTGTTGGATACTTCAAGCCTCAAGATCATATATGAGGGTGTCCCATGCGAAACGCCCGACCCACCATACCGACTTATCTGGGGGTGCGACATGGAAGAATTACGTAGCACCTCGCAGTTGCGGGTAAGAGTGAGGGGGCGGCGGGGACGTCGACAGTCTGCGAGGCTCTGAAAAAGCCCGCCGCAGTCGTCTAGTTTTACAAATTATACAACGAGCTCGCCGCAGGCACCGAATTTTTCGTTAAAACAATGTGTGTGGGTCGCGGGGTGGGTCGCGGGTGGGTCGCGGGCCGGGTCGCGGGCCAGGTCGCGGGCCGGGTTGCGGGTGGGTCGCGGGTTGGTCGCGGGTGGGTCGTAGGTGGTGTCGCGGGCCAGGTCGCGGGGGAGACGACAACAACAAACAACAAACAACAAACAAACAAACAACAACAAACAATAACAACAACAACAACATCAATCACTTTACCCGAACGCTCAGTGTTCTCACCAGTGCCAGGGTTTTCATGCGACGCCAGCCAATACCCCCACTTTGTGGGGGGGCAGTGCAAGCTCTACCAAATATCCACACGACTCTTCGCCACCACCCACACCCAGCTTCCCGCCCTATGACGTTCGGACACTTCACTTCGTGGCCTGCGGACGACCGTGGCTACTACACTGGCGTGGAGTACACACCCACAGAAGTTGTTAAGCCTACGTTCGTACACCCACAGAAGTTGTTAAGCCTTGTTAACCCACAGAAGTTGTTAAGCCTT